GTGCGTTTTTGGTCGATCATTAAAACTATTTTCCTTTGGAATCGACTGTGACGCGTAAGGCTAGTCCGCAAACATCATTTGACCGACAAACGCGTTTTTTATGCTCGTTCTTTTTTTCTACATAAATCAAAACTAACACGATTTGCAATATCAAAAATTAATTCGAGCAACCCGGCCCATAAGTCATACACGTGACGGTAAAAGTGATGATCGCATGCGGTCCAACAAATTAGTAAAATACTTTTTTTTTTCGAATTCGAAATGATAAAAAAAAAAAAATGTCACCGAGATAAATGGTGACGGCAAACTAGGAGTTAAACTATACAACGTGTGTGTGTGTGTGTGTTTTTTATTCCAAGAGGCAAGCACCACGAAAAGAGTAGGAAACACATCATGCCACCGCTAAACTGATTCCATCGCACTTCGCAGCGACAACATAATCGTTGCGGGCAAGTTTATAATATAATGGCACTATAATATAATGGAATCTAAATTGTCACCGACGATTGTACGCGTGGGCGATTTTCTTTAATTCTGTAATAGTAATTTATAGACTTAAGTTTCTTTTCTATATAGGTATTACAATCTCGTGTATACCGACAATAATTCAACGTTGCGCTTTTGGTGAATTTTTTATGTTTTTTTTTTTTGTGAGAATATTTTAACGTTTGGATGATTTGGCCACACGCGATTTGCTTGTTCCCGGGTGCTTACGGCGGCCAAGCCGAGAGATGCTTATCGTTCTTCGATATAATACCTAATATAACAGCGCATACGTTTTTTTATGCAAATCTAAACCGTGATACACTCAGACGACAGAAGACATATTTTATACAAAATATTATTATCAAGTGTTAAGTTAAGATAATATTCTCACGAGTCGTTGGCGAGAACGACGGCGTTTTATAGGAGTGAAATCACTGTAGGAATAATTTTCATAAATAATATCATTGTGGTGACCACCTGGCTAGTCGATGAGGTCATATATATGTATATATGAATATTATTGTAATGTGTGTAATACAGTTGGTCGCTACGGTCACGTTTACATGGCCAACTCGCAGGGGTTTTGAAATAATTTGTATATTATGGCAGTAAGGAAATCAGAAAATTTCCTGGTAATGCATTTAAAACGGCCACGCAGAGTGGCATAATATTAGCCGAAGATAAAAAGTAATTGTATTATTTATTTTCACAAAGAAAACGTCGACCAGACGTGACGGCGTTACAAAAAGTCTGCGCCAGCCGATTTGTATATTACTTAAAAATTCAATAGTTTTATTGTCGGTTTAAGACTTAAGTATGCTTTTGTTATAAATCTACCGGTTTAATTTTTCCCGCGCGTACATATTATGATAAATTAATAATGTCAGGACGCCGACGTCGGTTAACATATTATAGTGGACGTTTTGACAAATATGTAACATAATATAATAATATACTCTTATCGGTTATAATTACTGATTTACTGTTATCACAGGGGTACCGAGAGGGTCAGCAATATAATAATAGGTTATATCGTCAATAGCATCCAATAAAAATTCTAGTTCTTCGACCATTGAAAATTGGCGTTAAGTACCGTATTGACTTCCAGACACATAAATCATTGCCTCAGATACACGTATAATTGGTGTATTTATCATTTTATATTTACACGCTTTACATTCGTGTCCGGTGTTGCTGCAGGAGGAGGGGGGTAATTCCTTTATTTTCCCAAAATCATACCTCACGCCCGTTTTGTTGTTCGGCCGATCTGGAATCATTATTGGCCAACAGCCTCCTACGCGGGGTGTCAGCTGCGCAAGTAATGTTTATACAATGGTTGTATTTATTTTATTATATTAAATGCGGGCTGACCGTCGCTAGTCTGGATACTGGCGTAGGGGGGGGGGGGTCACTCCTATACACATTGTGCATAGAATGTCATACGTTGTTGGCCTTCCGGGGATACAATGTGCGCGAGCCGAAGGGATCCAATATTTCCTGGACCTACTGTGCCATCGGATAATCCTTTCCGTCGACGTTGATAAATCGATTTCTTTTCTCCACTATTCGACCGGGCCACGTGCTTAAGTCACAATAACATAATAAGTCGGAGGTTCCAAACCGTTAACCGATTCCGCGTGGGGTAACTGTCCTGTTAAAATCGTTCAAATAACTGTTATCGCGTAGGCGTTAAATTGTCAAAATATCGAATATACTTCCAAATCGAACAATAGCAATTTTATTGACTGCTCGATTTGGAGTGGAAAAGAGTATTCGGTTGCGTCGGGTTGGATGTACCTAATTTATTTGAAATTTTACTATCCACTAAAACGGCTCTATTCGATATGGGTTTTTACGAGAGTCACTTTACCAAATGAAAATAGTAAAAAACGAAAAGTGGTTCTTATTAAAGTGTTGATTCGACGCCTAGATTGCAAAACTCGTTGCCGGAAGAAAAACTGCTGTATAAGTACATCATTTTTTTCTTTGGACAAAAATGTATCGTCATCGAACGTGCGGGGCGGAAAAAATGATTTAAAAGTGTCAACCACAATTTACAGTGTAGTTGAGTATAACAGTCAGAGTTAGATATAATTTGTTTCGTCTAGTGTAGAAAACGAATTTATTTTTTTCCAACCCGTGTCGAATTAGCTGAATTATTTGGATACTTTTTATTAATGTTATATTTTTTTCCCGTGTGTCGCTCATTGGATTATTTCTAATTTATTATTCCGTGGTGATGTTGCTGTTTTTTTTTTGCCCCGTTGTATTATAATACATGTGTATGCCATATCAACACCTTTTGGTGCTTCGGGCTTAGCGACGCCCAGGGGTAACGTTTGAACCGCCAAAACACGGGCTAAATGCCGTAAATTTCCGGCATAACGCTCAAACGTTCGGGCTGACATAAATTATTGCGGATCCCAACAAAGGATGAATTTGACTATATGCATGTTCTACTTCGAGTTATACATTTATTGTGTTTTGTCGTACACATAGGTCCCTCTTCTGTACGGTTTCCGCAACACGCATTCATTACACCGTCTAAAGAAAAAATAACAACCGTCTTCACACTATAATAGAACATTTTTTTTTTGCGTTGTTCACATTTAGTTAAGACGAGTTACCGCCCTCTCCTCCCCCCACCTCCAGTCCCGGAGAAGAAATTTAACAATGCGATTTATTCAAATATGTTTTGTTGAAAAATCATATTATTACGTTATCCGACAACCTTTTGAAAGACGAGGCATATTTTAATAAAATTGTGGCCGTTAAATGAGTAACAGGGCGTAATATTTTTTTCTTTTATCAACTACAAAGCAACTGAAGGAAAACGACATGCGTTTTTGAAATTCGATTAAATTGGAATTGAAAGCTAAAAGCTACATATACGAAGTATAAGAGTATAAAGAGTATATATAAAGTATAAGAGTTTTATACTTTATTATTTGAAATCATAGTAGCCAAATTTTATAAAATATAGATCCCTAAATCTTAGGTATACAGTTAAAATAAATAAATATAAATAGGTAATACTTTCAAACTTACCCTAACTTAAACTGACCTAACATAACATAACTTAACCTAATCTAATCTAATTTAATCTAACGCAGTAATAAATTATAATAGGACTATGCGATACAACTCAATCGTGTAATTACTTCATTATCAATGTTGTCAACAAAAATAATTTAAAGAGATAAAGCAGAATGACGATGTAATATTGAAAAATAATCTGAGTACACAGATCTAGAAACATATCATATTATAGTAAAACAAAATTCGTTATACACATAATATTTAATTCCGCAAATAGCCGTAAAAGTTTAATTAGTTAACAACAAATATAAGCTTAAAAGCTTCCAAACAGTTATCAATAAAAAAAACGACATTCAGTATTTACCAAATATCTACCTTCCAAGTTCCCAGTATATTATTATTTTTTTATCAACCCTTCGTAGATTTTTGTACGTGAATGACGTACGGGTATATTTCTGTTTACCCTCATTGCAAAAAATGTGACTTCCGACCCTAATCCATCCTATCCGAATGATAAGCGGATATTTATTTATACATTTTTTTCTCCATCTAAAACGGAAATTAACTTTCAAAACTTTTGTCCGGAAATACGGTAGACGTCGAAGTCGTATATTGATGACTTTTTTTATAAAGGAAGCAGATTTGTTCTTGACTCGAGTGAAATTCCAATATATGTTTTAAACAAGTTACGTACAAGTTAAGTACAAAAACAATAAAGTATATAGTACATAAACTAACGGTCGAAAAGGCATAAATTCTATTGTGATATTGTTATCTCCGGCGGATCTCGATAGGACTAACTATGAATGATATGCAAATCTTTTGTTCTTCCTAGAAGTCGACTTTTATGATCTGGTGCGTGCGGAGTCATTGGTATGATGTGAATAGGTATTATCGTTTTGTTCGGGTGTGTGAACAAAAATTACAACGAAACGCTATTATATTATACTATCTACTATACGACTGAACGTCAAAACGCTATAAAAGCTATGATGAAAAAGTCAAAATGAGTTGGAGGGGGAGGGATACGTCCATCCATACATGAAAACAGAGCCCGCGTGACTCTGCAACTACGAAAAAAGCCCTCGGTGAAACAAAAGAGCTTGTGTATACGATTTTTATTTTTTTTTGTCGATTGCCTCCAAATCGCAGCTGCCCCCGTTGACAATTTAATCGCAGATGTTTTTTTTAACTGGCTCAAGCCGCATTATTATACCATACAAAAGGACTCCGGTTACTCCCCTTCGGCCGGAATATTTCGTGGGCCTGTGCCTTGACGTTTATTGCGTACACGACATTCATAACACGACACGCACATATTACTATATTGTACATATAGCCTTTGAATTGCACCGGCGCCGTACACAAGAGAATGTGGCTCGCGCGGTCGAACCAGAGAGAGGGACTGTCACTGTTTCCATCGTCCAAACAATAGGCAAATATTATGATTTGCATTTTATAATCGTCGTATTTACCTTTTTGAGATTTCAGCGACAGCCGGACAGAAGAAACGACTCTGCGTCGAAGGTCGATCGCTCTGCAGTTATCTGTGAACACAACATAAAAAAGAAAACCGTCAGTGGACGTTGTGATAATTTTGTGAACTCAAAGATATTATTTTAGTTACAGCACAGCTAGGAATAGACACTGGTGTTTGTACGACCGAAGAGCTTAATATATTATTTTAACGTGGACATAACCCATATTGCTATTTTAAACACGTTTCATGTGCTGTACGGTTCGAGAGAGGAGCTTTGCGTTTACGCCTCCGAGGCAATTAATATTTGCGGGCTTTTGTCGTCGGGCGGAGGGAGGGGGAGTGAAAAAAAATGGGGAAAAAACATCGGCGAAGCTCTTGGAAAAATTTCCCTCGAGGCGAAGTCGAGCTTTCATTAGACTCGAGTCGAGTGTGGTTTATTGGTATTGACACTTCACGGGACGTGTCCACGAGGGGTCCGGCCAGAGCAAGGGGTAAAAAGCTGTATAATATATATCTATGAAGGTATTATACAGCCTTGTTAAAAAGAAAAATGTCAATGGCCTTTGATTGGAATTTGTTTTTTTTTTTTTTAATGTAGAATCGCTAATTTAAAAAATGAGTTTTCTCCGAACGCTATGTTTATAAATTAGCTTATGGCATGTAAACAATAAACGCTAATTAAAAGTAAATATTAACTTTATAAAGCGCACCTGCGCTCGAAACATTATTTGTAAAGAGTTACGGGCTAGATAATAACAATGCAAAGCGAGTCGAAAATAATTTTATTGTGTCGACGACACGGCGAACGTGATGTCTCAGTAGTGTGCAAGTTTAACCTTGTAAACAAGAGTGCTATCGTGAATTCATTACCCCCCAAACATTATTCTCTCGATAAGTATCAGCGGCTATTATTTTATCTAACATGAAATATTATTAGCCAAAACCCGTTATGCAAAAACGTTAAAAATCGACCTACAACCATAATGTAAAGTAGGTGTATACACTTGATAGTAGAAAGTCTCCCTTGGTTTTTATACAGGAGATTATCGTAGGTACATACACGTCTATGTAAGGTTATACGGCGTATATCGAGATAAATATCTTTGATACCAAAAGCGCGTTGACTGGAACCAACCGATTTCCCGGTATATACCATAATAATACAGTATAGACTAACAATATTACAACTGGCCGTGGCGGCATCGCGTTTATGAATAATCAAAGATTTGGTAATGGAACGCAAAAAGAAAAATCATAAAAACCTCGGCCGAAGATTAGAAACCTAGAGGGATGGACTACTCCAAGTATACGCTCGCGGCATGCCACCGACCGGAATAAATCTCTCCCACGAGACCACTTATGTATCGGTGACTCTTCGACACACACTAACGGCCCAGGTACTATACATGTCCTCTTGTATCAATCGCCGTACATAATTCTTTCAAGTACATGTAATTGCTATTAAAACACCGAACCTGGACGGCACCGGGTTTCTGTCTTTACCTGTATTTACGGTTTGGGTAAACGCGGGACACACGGTAAATGAATTAGCAAAACGGGTCTTTAAACACTTCTGATCAACGATAAGGACAACCATGCACACAACACATTCCGAGTGCGTTATGACAAGATATTATAACGCTGTAATTCGTGTTCGGGTCCCAAAACGACAAACGTTTACCCGTAATCGTTAGGCCCCTCGCTGGAGTGTAAACGCACGGCTAATTCACGGTTTAGATGGAAAAAAAACGGCTCGCCCGTCGCATCAGGAATACAAAATATCCACCGCCGCCCGTGAGCACACACAATATTATCGCCTATCGGGTGTTTATTGATAATATTTTTATATTTCGATGTAACAATGGTAACGTGGGCTAGAGCGTTTGTGTGGTTTCCTTGAATGGAAATCGAAGCAATCCGACCCGAACACTGGTTTCGATTATTTATATAACCGTTCGATTAAATCTAGAAGGCTGCGTTCATTAATCTGGCTTTAATACGGTTGATGTTTGTCACCAATAACATAAGAAGTTAGAGCGTATGGACAAACAATAATCAAGAGCAAGTATGGAAAAATGTTTGGATTTTTAGACAAAACACAAAACATTTAAAAAACAACTTTGTCAAGATAAAATTTGCTCGAAAAGCAATACAAAATGAACTTGGATAAGTTTAAAATTTTTAATTTCTACTGTAGAAATTAACAGTTTTAATTTTAATTTTGTAAATAGTTGACGTAATTAAATTTTCAATTGAAAAAATTACATTACTTGTACCCCCCATCGGTGTTGAGTATTATTGTTGTTGGAAGTCCAGAAGCGTGTCATTCAGGGCAATATGTTGTTGTTGTTGCGCCCCCTTAAGGATGTACCTACGACGTGATGGCGCAGTAATTTCATCGACCAGCAACCTCTGACCTCTTCCCGGATCCCTATACAGTCTGTCGTGTCATCATGCGTTCATTGTGCGCTCACTTTCCATCGTAGCCCATATGTTAAACGTGCACGCGTACCATCGGTCAACACACGGAAGCCCTTCCTAAGTAAAAACACTTCCAGAGTGTCCATAACGTAGTGTGGCATAGCCGGTATGGATGTGTAACAATAATAATACACGGCCTGATGACTTGCAACAATCCGCCCGGTAATTGAATCTAAATATTGTTTTAATGGGCAACGCCAACACAAATAATATATTACAAGCGATGTGTTCAGACGAGTTGACAAAATACAATATAAATAATATTTTAAAACATCACTTCACCGTCGTCGCGTATCACTGAATTAGTAACCGCTAACCATTCACCTTAATTAGCTATATAAATTATAGAAAATTCATGAAGCGTCGGCCAAATGCGGTTATGTCTACGCAAACAACAAAAGAAACGCTACTTTTACAAATGGGACCACCAATCATGTTTGAACATTGTTTAATCGTTTTATCGTGATGGCGATTCTAACGATCACCTAATCGTTTTTTAGTACACACTGTGCATTACAATAAACGATCACAAGCACTTTTTTATTTATAAAACGGATTAGTTAAATTTATTTTAAAATTACTAGTTTGTTAAATTAATATCGAACGACATGGGGAAAACATTTGATTACATTTTTTTAGGAAAACAAGTTCATGAAGAAATAGATGACATTACCTTTTGGCTGAAGCCGCCGGTTTCCTCCGACGTCAAAGAATCGTAATGTTATCATTTATTCTTGTTATGTTTACTTTTTGTTTCACTTGTGTCACCGTATAAACTATAGTTTACTGTATATAAAACTATTGCGGATGGTGTAGTATAACTCTTGTAGGTAAGTAAAAAAAAGGGAAAGAGAAAAATACAACTCCGTTTTTTCGTTGCGAAATCGAGATATATACATTATAAGACAAAAAAAAGAAGAAGAAAGAACCGTAACGGATGCGTCCGTTGTGTCTCTAGAGAATTTCTCAGGTCGGATAAAAGGTACGTAAAAATCTGGCACTCGAGAGGCCTTTAAATAACGTTGGCGTTACTTCGTTTTTCGAACAGATCCATTACTTTCAAATCTTTTTGACCTGTTACTGGAATATTTTATTATTATATTATGTAGATTCCCAGGTGGAATAGCGCTCAATCCAAATAGATTTTCCTTAATTTTGCCGCACCAAACGAACCAGTAGAAAAATATTTACTTATGCTCAAATAAAGCACTCTCGGGGTTGATTTCGTGTAATACCTTTAACATATATGTATATATGCACTTTAAATTATGAAAAAAAAAAATACTAAAACATTTCCGGAAACGGACAAATCCAATTTTAAATCAAAACGGTTTTGTGTCGTTTCGGTCAATCGGACGATAATCGGTTTTGTTTTTGTGACCGTCAAATCACTGTGCAAAGTAAAAACCGAAGAAAACGGATTTGTTGTGTCTTTGTATTATTATGTTGAATAGCATATCTACAAAGGTTGTAGTTCTATATCATATTGTGTGATTGGATCGAAAAACAAATGTCATACAAATAACTAGTAAAGTATAACAGGACATATGCATACAAAAAATGGTTTATCTTAAAGGAACATAATATTATGATCGGACAAGTCAAAGTATATTAGTAAAGGCTCCTTGAATCGAAAATTGGGTTCATAAAACGGATCTATTACTTTTGTCGGTACTGACAACCGATTTTAATTGATCGTTTAAATTTCCAACACAGTGACTCTACAATTTATTGTAGAAAAACCTGTGTATTACTAAGATATCGTGTGATTTAAAATGTATCCATGGCAACCTTGATCACATACTATAATATACACATCACCGGTCGGATGGAAGTTTATCGCATCGACGCTGGAACCTATGGGGTACAATTTAAACAACCCAAACGAACGTTCCAATACTGTGCGCAGAAAGTATTAATTATTTATGTATATCTACTACATTTTTTCAGATTTTTTTTATCCCTGTGTACATACAAGCGCGGACCGTTAAAAAACGCGCAGAGCCAAACAAGCGCTTTTGTTTTTTAAAAGTCCCGTAAATAAACGGTTGGAAATGAGAAAAAAATGCTTGCCTCCGGGACAATGTTTGTCCTTCTCAGTTATTTTATACCTGAGCACTCGGGGGATAAAACGATATATTATTCCAACTTTATTGTACCCCTTTCCCCCCTCGACATCCGTTCGCTGTAATCCGTTATAAATTACCGCTACCGCCTTTATCTCTTTTACCGAATGAAAAAATAAGAATAAAAAAATACAAAGTTAATAAAACGTAGATTTCACTTTGCTCCCGGAACCCGCGGTAGCAGAAGCCGAATGAAATCCTAGCCTTAGTCCAAAATATTGTGTTTTTATTTTTATCGAATGTAATAAAACAATACGTCTTGTTATGTCATGCGCTGTGCGCACAAACGGCCCGAGTGAAGTGGATGATAACCAATTAGTTTTCCTTTAGATAATAAAATAATGGATACGCCAAAGTAGTTTGTTTACTAGAATGAACGTAAAACATTTTTAGGTAACAAGGGTCGCAACGTCATACGGCCATACCCCTTGCCAAAATGAGACGTGGATATTTCCGTGGA